GTTGTTTGCAGGCCCCCCTAAAAAATTGATCGTTACCATCGTTAGGGAGAATTGATTTAGCCCTTCTCTTTGGGTTTTGATTTTGTTGTTGGGCCCTGATTTTGCCCTTGATTTTTTTTGATAGGTGTATGCAGTATGCCCCGAAACTCTGTACTTGCTTGGGTTTTTATTTCTATTATTTACATTCCCCCCCCTAAAAAAAGATTTCATGCTTTATTAACATACAAGATTTCCCAAAAATCTAGGGTCTCCTATATTAACATACAAGACTTCCCAAAAAGATTTCATGCTTTAAATATCTCAAAGATAAAAAAAAGAAAACAAAGATAAAGTTTTGACAAAAAACCAAAAACTTAAAACATGAAAGTTATCAAACAAGCCCGTGACTAAGTCATCACTCCTGTTTGATTTGTTTTCACATTATGAATAGATTCGAGAGGCAAAGGCTGCAGCTAAGAAAGCTCAACAATTATTAGAGACTGTAGCGAATAGAAAAAGAAATAGACAGCTAGAAACAGATGGTCTAGTTGTGACACATGCAGTCTATGGGAGTTGCAAAGCACTGGGCAGTCGAAGGAAACACACTGAAGAAAATGGAGATGATGGAGTTTCACAGATCTTGGATGTGACTCTGCCTATGAATTTTCTGGTGAATGACTCTGGACAGCTAAAGGTTTGCCTTTTCTTCTCCTATGCCTAAAATATCAAAATTATTGTGTGTTAGTACATTTTCGTGATTCGTAAACTAGTGGATTTTATTGTGTTTTTGAAAATAAGGAATGGGTGGTTGTTTTTGAGTAAAATGTGTTGTTGAGTATACCTTTTCGTGGAAAATAAGTTGTTCTTTATATGGTGTATCAGGGTATAATGTTATCCCACAAAAGCTAAAAAGATGAATAAGATTTCTAAGATGTTATTTCCCCCAAAATTTCATTGAATTATTAATCAAGAAATTATTTTCTGGTGTCAAAACTCAAAAGTAGGAAAATCTTGGAAACATCTTCCTAGAACTAAATAGAGCCTTAGACATTTTCAATTTTCTCCATTCTCTTCTAACTAAGCAGACATCTATGCAGCTACACGAGGGCGTGAAGAAATCTGGAATAATGGGTTTTTGCGATCCTTGTCCCGACGAGCCAAAGCAGTTGTATGTGGAGTACATGTTTCACGGCTCTAAATTTGAGGTATCCAAGTATTCTGTTATATATTTCACTAATCCTCTAACTTACAGAATTTGTTGATCATTAACGATTTAACGTGCACTGGGTTCGTATCTACAGGTGACTGTCGATGATTATGCAGAGTTGATTATTCCCCATGAAGCACACAGGATTCCATCATAGATCTTTGTTTCTTTCGGTAAAACTTAGGAAAAAGGTACATCCCACTAGATTCATAAGGCCATGTTTGGCAAAACAAGAGAGAATAACTCATAAAGTGAATATGAAAAGCAACTAAAAGAGGCCCAAGCTTATTAAATAGGCTCTCTAACCAAACATGGTACATATGTACAGTTGAAAACATTTTATCTGAAAAAAGCTATGACGGGTAGCAAGTAGCTTCGCTTTTGTCGTGCCAAACAAGTTTTGAGTTCTGAAATACGGAGTAGTAGACAAGAACTGATGCATATGTTTGCCAATCAACTTTCTTAATCTTCGATGGAAACCTAAAAACGCACCCTTTGATTTTTTTCTTTTCATGTTTGTTTCCAAACAGCAATGCAATGATGGGTATACGGAATGGAAGCTGTGCTCCATATGCACTTAATCTTCAGCTGATGGAAATCTGTTCATTCATATTTGATCGTAAACGAAGAGATCTCTTTTATAATGTTTCTTGTTCTGCCTTTGGAGGTCAGTGAGGCCAATTATGATAGTTCACAGAGTAAATGGTAAAAAAACATTCTTGTTTTTGTTGTTGATCAGGTATTACATGAGCTATCCAACATTTCAGTTTTGTGTTTATAGACCTGTAATGATAACAATAAGGCTATCCATCATTCATTCTAGGAGGCACAGTTTAAGGAGCATGTTCAGACATACTCTGTTTTGGTTTTAGTTCATCATAGTTTGTGTCTTGACCTCATCTATTACTCTCTGTCCCATTAATGTTTTTGACATTTTGACTTTAAGGAGTTTAAGTAAGTTGTTCATACGTAAAAAAGCGTGGTTAGAACTTGTTCGGAGGAGAGAGAGAATTGTTGGTAGCCATATATTCATTCCCAAAATAGGGAACAAAGTATAAAGTTTTTTTTTGAATGTCCAAAAAAGATAGTCTAAAGTATTTTATATGATGAAAGTAGTACTTCCTCCGTACTAAAACGCTCTTCCCAGTTACTATGCATATGGTTAAATTTTAATCATTTTTTAACCTATTTTTGTTAGTTATTTGATGAAATAATAGTCTTGTCACATCTTGTTTTGTAAAATTTTTGACGTAGTTTTTAAATATATAAATTTTGTTTTATAATTTTACACTTACAGTCAAATAAATTCAATTGGAAAAAAGTGGCAAATCTCGTAAACTGAAACGGGAAGAACGTTTTATGATTTTAAGCCGTTTGAGTTTTAGCAATTAGAGTGTTCGATCTTCATTTGATTGGAACATGAATTACTCCCTTGCATCTCACTATCTAAGAATTCTTATTTTTAAGAAAATAATTTAAATTATCAAACAAGTCCTTCAAATTAGTTTGTGATTCACTCATGTCAACAATGCTCACATGTCGCATCTCTAGGATATTTAAGTTTATTTATCATAATTTCTTTATTGAATACTCTTTCCGTTTCAGTATATAAGTCGAGTTTGATTTTTTAGAGTCAAATAAGACAAAATTTAATCATTAATTACTTTCAATTTGTATCATAGATTAACATAATGAAATAAAATTTTGAAAGTTCTTAATAAAACAAATTTAATAAAATTATTTTTATACTCTGCACTATGGAGTACTCCCTACTATATACTCCGGGTATTACAAATTTTGTTCGATTGAGGTCCAATTGTCCAAAGTTTGACTTGTAAAAATTAAATTAGAAGAATACATTTGAACAAAGATAGTATAAAAAATTAAAAATGAACAATTAAATTCAGATGAAAGGAGCATACACTTATTATTAAAACAATAATATCAAACCTAGTAAAATCCCACATACATAAGATTTGACTATAATTTGGCTGATGAAAAACATTCCATCATAGTACCCATACTTGGGTACAATAATAATTTGAGTTTGTCAAAAAAAACAATACTAATAATTTGAGCAGAATAATTTGAGTCCGTCCTCAAAACCCCACGTTTGTACCAATAAAACTATTCCGGAGTATAAAAGTTAAGTGGAGGAAGGCTAAATTAGATAATACTCCTTCCGTTCCAAATTAAATTGTCTGTTTATTATTTGCATATTCAAACTTTATTCATTTTTTTTCTCTATTTTCGTTAGTCATTTGATAAAATAGTATAATTATGTCACCAATCATTTTGTAGATCTTTTGATCTAGTTTTTAAATATGTAATTTTTATTTTTTAGTTCTATACTATTTTCATATAAAATGATTGAAAATAGTTTCAGTCAAACATCATAAATTGAAACAAGTGGTTTAAATTGGAACGGAAGGAGTAACAATAATATTTCGTAAAAAGGCTAAAATTAAATACTTCATCCGTCCCAATTTATATAGTCTGTTCACTATTCACAGGTTAAAACTTCATTCACTTTCTTTCTCTATTTTTGTTAGTAATTTGATAAAATAAAGTATTATTGGCACTACTAGTTTTGTAGATTTTTTAATATAGTATTTTACTATGTAATTTTTATTTTTTAACTCTATACCATTTTTCATTTTAAATGATTTGAAAATAATTTTAGTCAAACATCGTAAACTGAAACATGCACCATAAATTGGGATGGAAGGGGAATAATAATAATAATAGTAATAATAATAATAATAATAATAGCATGTATCGCAAAGAATGGCTAGGACTACGAATAATATGGAATGATACTACACTAAAATACTCCCTATCATTCTCTCCGTCCTATTTTTAAGACAAACGTATGATTGTATGGTTAATTTTAATATATACTTATAAAAAAGATAAACTAACATTAAAGGTGAATCACAAAAATGTGACAATATATCATACGGAGTATGTGACGAATACAAAGTCGTACAAAAAAAGACAGAAATAATTGGATTAAGGGTAAGTTTTATAAGTGTAGTACGGAGTACTATATATTAGCTCTGGTAAATACCTAAATTAGTAGAAATGTACCCCCTTCGTTCCAGTTTAAATATCTGTTTCAGTTTATGGAGTTATTTTTAATACAATTTATTTGATAATTAGATAGAATTTTTAAAAATAAAATTTATATATTTAAAAATTATACACCGTATAAAAAAGAAATAACTTAAATAAGAATAAAGCATAGAAAAAGTACCAAAATAGAAGTTTTATATTTTTATTCCTTAAATGGGAGTTCACACTATGATGTGGTACTGTACATGTACATTTTACTATATTTTTTGGTGATATACATGGTCGGTGATGATTGGTAAGTAAATGCATTTTAACTCTTTTTTTCAAAAATAAAAACATAAAACTCCTGTTCTGGTATATTTTTAATATTTACTCCTACTTTAGTTTGTTTCTTCATAAAAAATTCAACGAAACAAGAGGTGTCATGACTATTTTATAATACTGTATCAAATTAGTAACAAAAACTAAAAATGAAAGTGAATAAAATTTAATTCTCTAAATAATAAAGAGACAACTTAATTTGAGAGAAAGTTTCTTATGTATCTATACCACGTTTTATTTTTGTTATTTTTGAAAGTTTTAGATGCTTAACCATGTCCATTTCCGAGCTTTAACTTGGGATTCTGACAAATTTTGAGGTATTATAAGACTTCAAAATCCATGTCTCAACAACATTCGAGCAATCCAAAAGTGTCTTCACTAAACTCTCAAGAAGATTTTTGAGGCATACCCAAAAACAAACAAGTGAATGATTATATTCTAATAAATTCTTTAGAGGACATTGATAACTCATGATGTTTTAGTCACCAAATCCCAAACAGAAACATTTTCAAATATCAAAAACAACAGTCATATATGATTTCAAAACACAAACTGAGCAAAACTACAATACATGGGAACAAAAGAGAAACAAAAAAACTCAAAAGAAAGAAACCCCATTATTATTACTTAGCACAAGAAATCACTGACAAATCTGTTCGACCGCAGTGACAATCTGCGCGGGCTGGACAATGGTGAAATTCTCCAACACGCCGGCGTACGGAGTTGGCACATCTTGTGAAGACAAACACACGATCGGAGCGTCTAAGTAGTCATTGAAATTCTCAGTTATGGCAGCCGTTAAGCTGGCCCCAATCCCACCTGTCCTCATGCACTCTTCCACAATGATGACCCGGTGCGTTTTCTTGACCGAGTTCCCAATTGTGTAAAGATCAAATGGTTTCAGAGACCTAATGTCTATAACCTCGGGGTCGTACCCTTTGTTCACAAGAACCTTGACTGCCTGCATGACATGGTACCTCATCCTAGAATATGTCAGGATTGTGACATGTTCCCCTGGTCTCACCATCTCAGCTTCTTCAAGATTCAGAACATATTCCTCGTCCGGGATTCTCTCTTTAAGGTTGTAGAGCAAAACATGCTCGAAGAGAATCACGGGGTTGTCGCTTCTAATGGCAGCCTTCATCAAACCCTTGGCGTTGTAAGGGGTGGAGCATGCCACCATTTGGATGCCAGGTATGGACTGGAAATACGACTCGAGTCGCTGGGAGTGTTCTGCACCTAGCTGCCTGCCCACCCCACCGGGTCCCCGGATGACAACGGGTATCTTGAATTGACCGCCGGATGTGTAATGAAGCATTCCACAGTTGTTGGAAATTTGGTTGAAGGCAAGGAGGAGAAATCCCATGTTCATGCCCTCGATGACGGGACGGAGACCGGTCATGGCTGCTCCGATGCCGAGTCCCGTGAACCCGTTCTCAGCAATAGGGGTGTCGAGGACCCTTAGATCGCCATACTTTTCAGCCATGCCTTTGGTGACCTTGTAGGAACCCCCGTAGTGGCCTACATCCTCACCCATTACACAAACACTTGGATCTCTTGCCATCTCTTCATCAAGCCCTTCACATAGGGCTTCAAACAGCAAAAGTTCATGGCTACAAAATTCATATTTTGCATTAACTTCAGTAGTTTAAACAAATCAACCAAAATAAAATAACAGGATTCATATCAATTCTATGGTACAGAAGCACTTTACAGGTTTCCTTCAATTGTCAAAATTAAAAGATGATATTTGGAAAGAGTTACTCCATTCGGAAAAAACAAAAATAGAAGTAAAATATTAAAAATATACCAAAATAGGATTTCCATGTTTTTACTTCCAAAATAAAAGTTAAAATGCATCTACATTACCAATCATGACCATGTACATTAAGTAAAATGCATATGTACAGTGCCATATTACCAAAATGCAAACTCCTATTTAGGGAATAAAAACATGGAACTCCTATTTTGGTACTCTCTATGTTTTAGTACTAGTTATGGTGATTTCTTTATTTGATTGATGATTTTCTAAAAGGGAAAGTGTTTGATAACCTTTATTTCAGCAGAATAAGCAAGTCATGTTTGATATGGATGTGGCAAATTAAAAATGTTGTAACCTAAGAGCTACTGTTATAAAACAACTTACACCTACAATCAAGAGATGCTATCAAGCCATATCTTTTGAGAAATAATATTACTCTGTAACACATAATTATTTCAAAACAATTCCGCAGCAACACTATCAAACACCATTCCATTCATAGGCACTTTATATCAAATAAACTACCAGACTTTTCTTCAGAGTCACAGCAAAGAAAATTGGTTCATCACTTTATAAGTAATAAGCAAAAATAAAGAAAGACAAATAAACACAAGATAAATCCACCATACGAAATAGAAGTGAAAGATACCCCGGCTTGGATGAAGTCGAAGATGCTGCATTATCCTGCTTTGCCTACAATAGGAACAAAAAAACAAGTAAATAACAAATTTCTGGGCATTACTTAAAACAGAGAACTTATATCATTATTCACATAATAAAAAAACAGAACTCCAACCGCTACGGCATTGGTAATTAACTGTTGAGCTCTCTTGCCAGTACTCCTCAGATCACAGCTAAGTTTTTGTCCAGAGCTTAACACGAAAGAGCTGCGGCATTTCCTCTCCTCTGGAACAATAAAAAATAAAACAGAATGCGTAAATGGCAGACAATACAAACACAAAAACTGCTAGATTTCAATTGAATTGGCTAAACACAAAAAAAGGCAGAATCTTTTCAAGCCAATGCAAGCTATGGGAATAACCCAGAATAAAAATTAACTGCATATGCCAAAATTCGGACAAAAAGCCACATCTGGAATGCGAGAAAATCGAAGGAATTCCATACCAGAGAATGATCTGCCAGTAAAAATGGGTGACTTCTTCGAGTGGAAAGAATTGGCCGAATAGACGGAAGTGACGGCCCCAATACCTTGAACAATACCGGCCATCTCGTCCCAGATCGGGGCTGATCTTCTTCGTTCTTCCTGGTCTTGATGAATCAGCGAGAAATGCGAAAACGGAAGGCAGATTATCGCGCTCGAGATGCAAAAAAAGTACGTCTACAGAGAGAGAGGAGGAGAAGGAGAGATTAATTTATTAGAAAAAAGGAGAAGCGGTGGGGCGGAGACAGCAAGAAAACGGGAAGAGAGCCCTGGCTTCGGTTTCTTCGCCTGATCTCTCTTTCAATTCCTTTTGTTTTCCAGTTAGCAAAAATGTGATGGGTAACATAAATAGAAGGATCATGTTACATTTACACCAAAAATTGTATCTCATTTCTACACTGCTGTAATACACAAACATTTTAATGGTTTATACCGACACAAATGATTTACACGAACACAAAATATTGGTGCGTTAACAAAAATTAGTTTTACACCAACACAAAATGTTGGTGCAAAACTGCGGGGTAGAAAATATTGGGATACAAGTAGCTTTATCCTAAATAGAACTAAACTTTTTCAAAAAAGTAACATATGATTTTATTTCGCAATGTAGTATCACTAGTCATTATCCAGTGGTCATTGTTCAAGTAAATTGCCACTGGACATTGTTCAAATTTAATGTCCACCATCATTGGACATTGTTCCCGCCACTAGACATTGTTCAAGTACTATTTAGAGAATAACAAAGCTTAAGTATTACATTGGAAAAATGACATATGTTTTAGTAATATTTAGTGCAAATTTCACAATTAGAATATACAACCACATCTACCTTCTAGTTTCCAAATTAGTTTATTTTTGAGTGTTTAGACTACAAATGAATACCACAAGCCACAATTTGAAACCAAAGCCATATTCTCTTCACCTAATCTGATTAATTCTGATCTGATTGGAATAAGTTTTGATCTGATTTGGTCTGATCTGATCTGAATATAGTTATATTTAAAGCTATTTCTGATCTGATTTCAATAAGAATAAGTAATAAATAAAAAAATAAATTGGGGAGAACATGGCCCAGACTGCTATGAAAACAACATTTTTTTATACATTCCTATATAATTTGAAACCAAACAATAAGCCTACCAAGACATATGAGAATGAGTACTAGCACACTAAAGATTGAACATATTTCATTTTCAAGACGAATGAACTTGTTTTTCTACTTTTATATGCAATTTGAAACCAAACTACGAGTATGACTTGTATGCATTCCTTAGACTACAAATGAATACCACAACCTATTAGAATGATTGCTATCGCGCAAAAGAATGAATATATTTCATTGTCTTAATGAGAGTATATCTTTTCTACTTCCCTGTGTAATTTGAAACCGAACCGCAAGCATATCAGAACATATCACAATGGGTTCTACCAAATATAAGATTGAACATATTTCATTATCAAAATTAATGAATTTGTTTTCTATTTTTCTATGTAATTTAGAACCAAATCACAAGTATGCCTTATATCCACTACTAAAGCTACAAATGAGTATCATGACATGTCAGAATAATGCTATCACACACTGGAATGAACATATTTCATTGCCAAAATGAATGAACTTGTTTTTCTCTTCTTTGATTTAATTTGAAACCAAAACACATACATACCAAGACATATCACAATGAGTACTACCAAACTTAAGATTGAACAAATTACTCGAGATATAATTCTATTGAAATCGTGCTCGGGAAATTGTCGAACGAGAGAGAAAGTTGCAGTGATAATAATTCAACTCTGGAGAAAGCTAACTGCACCATATTGAAATTTGAAAGCATCTAAATTGGAATTAGGTTGTGTTTCTATTCTTATTGGGCTGGTTGTACGTAGATATACGTACAACCAGATGTATAAAACCCTACCCATAGAATTTATGTCATTTTGAAATTATTTTTTTATTTCAATGTTTTAGAACGAGTATTGAAGAAATCATCCAAAATAAGAGTAAAACGTACCTTTATCTCAAAATAGCAGTGACATGTTTTACTTTAAAATAAGAGTTTGCATTGTGACAAACAATATGTCATTCTATATTATCTTTTAATATTATATGTTGATATTATTGACATTTTAACTCTCATTTTGTACGAGTAAATAAAAACTTGGAGCTCTTGTTTTGATACATTTTCTCTATGGTTTTACTTTTTATTTACTCTTTTTTTCTTTTATAATTTTAGAAAAGATTAAATATGTTGTTAGTTCTTATAAAATATGTGACTTTTGTTTTTAGTCCCTGTGATTTTTTTATTCAATTCATCCTTACTGATGGTGTAAATTATCTCGACTGATGTATCGTTCTTAGCCAAGAAAGAACAATAAAATAGTCTAACAAAATACACAAAAATAGAACACATAAATTTTAACGTGGAAATCCAATCGCGAGAAAACCACAGGCCTTTTTAGTGGTACCTTGCCAGCAGGAGATTTTTTTAATATCGAGGGTTATACATGAAATGTGATTTGGGCTTAGAAGCCATTAATGGAAGCTTGAAGCTTCTTGAAAAAGAAGAAAATATACAATGAATAATCTAGAGAGAGAGAGATAGGCAAGGGAGAGTGAAAAGAGAGCTTGTGTAACACCCTAATCCGTATAACCCGGAATTACACGTATTAAGGTGAAACCGGAGTTAAATAAAAATTTCGCTTGACATTTGAAAATGACAATTTCTTACAAATGTTAAATTTACAGATTCTAGATCGCGACCCATTTAAAAATATTTTCGGAGTAAAGCGGAAGTACAATAATAATCAAATCATAACACATTTAAAATCTTGATGATCAAACATTTGCCTGCCATCCTTGCATCTCCTCTGACTCAATGCCCTCCGGGATTGGTTCCATCATTGTCTTCTTGTTACCTGCGTGTAGTCAACGAAAAATACAAGCTACACGCTCAGCGAAATCGTTGAGTGGTACCACGCTAGAATTATAGAATAATTCACAGGCATATACATATATATACGTCCACAAAATGTATAATAATATTCGTGATATGGCACATTATATCATATGATCAATTTGATGATTCATGATGATAAATATTTAATGATAATTACATGATGGCACATTTTAATCAATTTGATTGTTCTTGATGATAATTACATGACACCTATGTAATCAATATAATTGTTCCTGATGATGATTACATGACACCTATGTAATCAATATAATTGTTCTTGATGATGATTACATGACACCTATGTAATCAATATAATTGTTCCTGATGATGATTACATGACACCTATGTAATCAATATAATTGTTCTTGATGATGATTACATGACACCTATGTAATCAATATAATTGTATTTGATGATGATAACATGATGCATGAACCTAAACGTGCAAGAACGACCCTTGCGATATGAGATTCGCCCAGGTTGTATGATGAACTCACGCCACCTTAGTCTCATGAATGAGGTGAGACTAGAAACAATATGGGGGTGGTACTCGAAAGCCTGAATACCATGTACGTACACTAAGCCCGAACGTGTGATGTTGGACTACTAAGTCCCGCACAATCACGCTATAAGAGACACACGAGGCATGATCTCTTACGCATGCATATGATGTGTTATGCTTCAATATGAATGATGAAATAAATGATATGATATGAACAATTTGAAAATTGCAAACAATATGAATATATAATCATACATGAGTTTATTTGGTTGAAACATGATTAAAATATCATTTAATTAAGCTACGGGGCTCGAAACGGTCGACCGTTTGGCAAGGCGGTCGACCGTGCTCTACATTCAATTTCTCGGATTTTGATTCACCATGACGGTCGACCGGCGGTCGACCTTTGTTGACTGGTTGAGGATGACGGCCTTCGGCCGGGCTGGCGACGGTCGACCGTTCTACTGACAGTCGTGGTCCGTTTCGAAGTTTTAACACAATGGTCGACCGTTTGCGTCGACCGTTTGCGTCTGCGAATCTTACTCTTGATTTTTGGGTGTTTAAAATACTTCTTTAAGGGTAAGGATGGCAACGGGTCGGGTTCGGGTCGGATAGTACCTTACCCGAACCCGACCCGACTTTTAAAACCGAAACCCGAACCCGACCCGAAACCTGACCTTTTAAGTTAAAAACCCGACCGACTCGAACCCGACATTTCAATCCGAACCTGACCTGAACCCGACTTTAAACCAATAATCAATTCGACGTATCCCAATAATTTTGAAATGATTAAATTTAATTTTTTCATGTCTCTTTTTTATGTCTCATTTTTATTAAGGAATTATAAAAATGATTATAAAAAGCATACTTGATATAGTAGTACTTTGTCAAGAAATTATACGGAGTGCTTATTATATCCATAGATAGGCTTTTATGTAATAAAATATTCGGGTTTTAGTCGCGTCGGGTGCGGGTTCGGGTCGGGTCGGGTAAAATTATAAATCCACACCCGACCCGACCCGATGTCGGGTTCGAGTAAAAAAATTTCGGGTCAGGTTCGGATTATTTATTCTCGGTTCGGGTTCGAATATTTTAGTGGCCGGTCGGGTCGGTTAAGCTCGGGTTCAGGTTGAATTGCCATCCCTATTTAAGGGGCTGTTTGTTTCAGCCTCTTAATGGTTCAGATGTCTGAAGGGTTCAACACTTAATGGTTCAGACTGTTTGTTTCAGCCTCTTAATGGTTCAGATGTCTGAATGGTTAAGAGATTTGCCTCTGAATGGTTAAGTATTATACAGAGTCTGAATGGTTAAGACCTCTTATCGAAATTGATCAGACATTTGCCTCTGAATAGTTAAGCAATATACTAGCTCTTAATGGTTCAGACCTCTTACTGGTTCAGCACTTAATGGTTCAGACCTCTTACTGGTTCAGCACTTACCTATTCAGAAGTTGCCAAACAGCTCCTAAGTCTTTAAAACACCTTTTATTAACATATACATATTGTTGGGTTGATTTCCATTATTTATATTTGCTTATGTATATTTATTAATTTTATGAATTTGGTGTATTTTGATCTCAACACATGGATGACTTATATATGTATCACATATATATTTTGGGATGATTTCAACATATGGATTAATATATATGTTCATGTACGTATGTAATGAATGATTAGACAAGTCTAACGCAAAGGTACAGACCTGGAAATCAATGGTCGAAACCTTACGGACGAGCGGTAGTGAAAACAACATCGAAATTCACCAACTTTGTCATTCCCGTCACAATTGGACAGTCTGCTGTATTTTGGGCATATCTCTATCGTTTCTTCACGGAATTGCAAACCGTTTGATTCTGTGGATTCCTAAGATGTAAGGCTATAACTTTCGTGAGGAAGCCATATCAAAATAATGAACTTAAACAGGTCTAACATAGCTTAGAAGTGGATATATTTGTGCTGCCAGGATTTCGGTATCTCGATGAACAACGATTCCCACGATCAACTCATCAATTTCAATATTCCAACATCGAACCTTCTCTACGATACCTTAAGAATGTTTGTAATAATCGTTAGAGAGTTTATGGTAAGTGTTTGGAATGAAACAACATGAATATGGTGAGGAAACATAGCCAACCCGAGGAGCTCGCCACCACTGGCGCAGTCCCGGTATTTTGGCCATATCTCTTTCGTTACTTAACGAAATCACGAACCGTTTGTTGTGATGGATTCGTAACGTCCGGGGCTACAAATTTGGTGTAGAAAGTAATACAAAATAGTGGATGAATATGGCGTTGTCAAGTGCCAAAGATTAAGATTTCTAATCTTATGAAATCACTTTTGAATCGAGTTTAATTTATGGGTCAAAGATTCAAATTTTTAATATTCAAAATCGTCATAGCTTGAAATCTATAAATCAGATTGGTTCATAAAATGTTTCGTTGGATTCGTCTCTTCGAGACATATCCATAAAAATAAGTTTTTTAAAAAAAGTCATTATTTTGAAAATCCCTTCATTTTTGGTCAAACGTAAAAATATTCTCTATTGGGTCAAAATGATATTGAAAACTACTTTTGTTTTATAATAAATTGTAGGCCATATTTTGTGGCGTTATAGTTTGCACGAGAATTAGCATGTGTATGTATGCAGGAGATCGAAATCCCCCCCCCCCCTCTTTGGTCTGATGCTCCATTATAAGAAAAATGGATGCATGCACATCACCATGATGAGGGAAATGAGCTATATGACAACATGTGATCTTCATGTGAATATGTCCTCGGGTCCTATTGAATATTTATATATCGCTTCAATTTTATTCTTTTGTCTCAATATCTCTGACTATATCTTGAATAATTTATCCGGCTTAACTGATCTTCATAATTATTTAGGAAATCTAGATCGGGCCAAGTATTATTTCCCATCAAGAAATCCTCCACTTTCTTAAGTTGTGAAAACCATCAACTTAAGAAAGTAAATATGTCCTCCGAGTGTTATCTTCATTCTTCATATGTTGCGTTATTGACCGGTTGATGTTGCTAGTCCTCCGAGTTCTTCATCATTTCTCTAATTTTGGATCGAATGCTTTTCTTGTAAACATAATATGTATAGTGTTTCTTAACCAACCAGTGATGTGCTCAAACATAATGTTTATTTTTACCAAGGGGCTCGATGTTAAAGGGGATAAAACACGTGCAAAGTATCATTGTAACAAGAGCGATGTTAATTTGATAAAGCAATGATGCTTCAAATAGTTATTTCAACGAGTCAAGGTTAGTACGATGAAGCAAAGACGCCTCAAATAGTTATTTCATCGAGACCAATGTTAGTACAAGGTAAGCAAACGATGCATAACAAAGTTAGTATGTGAGTTAAGTATGCTGCGTTAGCTATATCGTAGATCAATGTTAGCCCGACTAGTTGATGCAAGTATCTTCATATCAAGCAGAGACCATCTTCAGAGTGCCTGATATTGAAGGCTTAATGAATTAGGCGTCCTCGATATGAGCTCAGTTAAAATACAAGTGTACCCAATTCGATTGGATTCAGACCTACAAGAAAATATGTGCAAGAATAGTTTGTATCGTTCTTGGCTGTGGTTGAACAAGAATGATTTTTACCGGCGTGCCAGGGCGGTCCTATGTCACACATTTTATTTTGATTTTTTATTATACTGAGCAAGACCGGTGTAGTAACCAGCGTGCCAGGCCATCCCCATGTCTATTCCTTCCTAGATTAGACGAAGACCCATGCACAATTGGCATACACCGTTGGGATCCATTTTTCTTTTCCACTTGAGCCTATCCGATTTTAAAAAAGTAAATTCTCCAAATAGTCTTTTATAACAGAGGAATATATGTTTGAACCACTGGTTCAACCAGTGAACTAATGAGTTAGTGCCGTGACTAGTTCGTTTACTGGTTCGATTTTTAAAAGTTTGGTTGATATTAGACCTGACAAAATGGTCGGTCAGATCGAGTTTGGGTTCAGTATTATCGAGTTTAGATTATTTTGGGTTCGAGTCACAAAATCGATGTTCAAAATACACTAATTTCGTATCGGGTTTCGAATCAATAACGGGCCGGATCTAGTTGACATTGAATGCTAGTGCCAACGAAACCTTGGCTATAATAATAATATTAAAACTATTATAATAATTTTAACTTTAATTTAGATCAGATCAAATAAGATTTATTCAAATTAAGTTAGATACAATCAGATGAGATCTAATGAATTTAGATCAAACAAAATCAAATCTAATCATATTGAATCTATTCAAATCATATGTAATCAAATCAGTTCAAAACGCAGCGTTTCAATTATATTCTTTTACCGACGAAATTTTTCCGTCACCAAACTAACGACGGAAAAATTCTGTCGTTATTTTCGTCGTCTAATATGCAGCGCACTACAATACAGAGCGACGAAATGCTGATTTCGTCGTAAATTTTGGTAGGCGTAAAATTCCATCGCTAAATCCGTCGTCGTTAGCGTCGAATTGCATTCCATCGCAATCCGTCGTTTTTTTTGCGTTTTCTAGTAGTGAGATTCAATAGATTAACACTTTGGTTCCCATGACATTGGGAACCCGGGGGCGCTCCGGTGCCCCGTTCGTAAAATTGACGGTTCTTACCCCCCCTAATCCCCTCGGTAAACCCCCACCCCGCCCCTCCCCGAACAAACCCCCCCACCCCCTCCAATTGCACCCCACAAGTCGATTTTGACTTTGGAGTCAAAATTTGATAAGACATGTTCGGAACCTTCCCCATAGATTAATAGATTATTGATAAGACATGTTCGGAAAATAAAAGCGGAACTAGTCTTTAGGTCCGTCGAACGAACTACGGAGTACGGAGTAATAAATCGTGTCGTTCAGTTGCTACGCGCCCAACCACACTGGATCACTACTTTAGTTCAAACCCTTTCAAAATNAGCACCCCCGGATCATCCCATGACATTGTAACCCAATGTCATGGGAACCTTGGTGCAATAGATTAATAGATTATGGATAAGATATGTTCTAAAAATAAAGCGGAACGAGTCTTTAAGTCCGTCGAACGAACTACGGAGTAAATCGTGTCGTTCAGTTGCTACGCGCCCAACCACACTGGATCACTGCTTTAGTTCAAACCCTTTCAAAATTCAAACCCCCCCGCCTCTTCTACTCCCCTAAAAAGAAAAAAGAAAAAAAAACATTCATTTTCTCTACTAAATTAAAAAATAAATAAATCTCCCCGTATATATATACTCCGTATATAAAAAGTTTAACGGCCAATCCGCAACCTCCGCCATTATACTTTCTCTGTACCTTTTGCTCTACTGTACAACCGTCATTTTCTCCGATGGCGCACGATAGCCAGCTGCCGGTCGACGGGGAAGGCGTCTGCATGCGCTGCAAGGTGACGCCGGAGAAGGACGATACGATCGTCTGCGCCACGTGCGCCACTCCCTGGCACCTGGCATGCCTAGCCGCGCTGCCGGACACCATGAAATCTGACTCTGACTTCCAGTGTCCCGACTGCACCGGAACTGGGATTTCTGGGCCTCCGGAGAGGGATCCTGCCGACGGCAGTGGCCTCGTGGATAAGATTCTTGCAATTGAGGCCAATGAGTCGCTGACCGACCGGGAGAAAGCGAGGAGAAGACAAGAGCTGCTTAGTGGGAAATCTGGTGAGAATGGAGATGATAAGGAGAAGGGAGAGCGGTTCGATGTGCTCGCCGTGCTTGGTGAGAGCATCAAATGCTCCTTCTGCATGCAGCTCCCGGACAGGCCTGTCACGGTATTGAATCTTCATCCCCTAGGGTTTTTTCTCATCAAGTATTTGCACTATGGTCATGCTATTATTATGTTTTGGCTATGCATTGCAAGGTACACAATAAATGTGAATCCTTACTCAAATGAATTTGGGAATTGTGGCATGTAGGGTATGCAGTTCTGTATTCTTGTTCAGTTATTTGGGTTTTGAGGCTTCCACTCTTCTATTTCGTCACCTGATCACTTGTGTTGATAATGCTTATAAAGTTAATTGGCGGTAGTTTTAGTTATGCGGTTCTTCTAAAAAGCCCAAATATTATTTGTTGAATGCTGTTATTTGTACACAATGTTCTACGCCAAGTGTCAATTTCTTTGAGAAAAGGCGCCCCTGTGTACCTCACTCTCAAGCTTTGTCTATGGAGTAGTATGTTACCAATTGATTCAGCTCTAAACCTCCGGGGTATGTCTGGACCATTCTGGTCTTTTATGGGTTTGGAGATTAATCTTACTTATTATTGCAATGCTTTGTCTTCTATTCCATTTTAGTTGCTTTATCTGCTGCAGAATAATGTTTTTCATGGAGTTGGTCAACTAGTTGAAAAGTTATGTTTCAGACAATCAGACACCTTGTCGACAACTATGAGATTCAGGTCTTTTTGGCCACAAAAAGGAACCTGTGGTCGACCATTGCTCTTTATTTTGTTTCTTCGTTACAGATTAGAAGTTCATTGTTTCTTGATGATATATTTATGTTGATGGTTACGTGTTTGTGTTGGTATGTTCCAGACACCTTGTGGGCACAATTTTTGTTTGAAGTGCTTCCAGAAATGGATTGGCCAAGGAAAGAGAACTTGTGCCAAATGCCGCCGCAAATTTCCTCCCGAGTTGGTGAGCCAGCCGCGCATTAACTCAACCCTTGTAGCTGCCATTAGGATGGCCAAGGTTTCACGAACAATTGCCACGGGTGTTCCTCAGTCAGTCTACCATTATATATGTAACCAAGATCGTCCAGATAACCCTTTTACCACAGATAGGGCAAAGAAAAATGGGATGGCAAATGCAAGCAGTGGGAGGACATTTGTTACTGTCCCTAAAGATCATTTTGGGCCTATCCCAGCAGAAAATGATCCAGAAAGAAATCAAGGCGTCTTAGTGGGAGAGTCTTGGAAGTTTCGCGTGGAATGCTGCCAGTGGGGTGTGCATCGCCCCCCTGTTGCTGGAATTGCTGGGCAATCAAAGTATGGGGCGCAATCAGTTGTACTATCTGGAGGTTATGAAGATGATGAGGATCATGGAGAATGGTTCTTGTACACAGGAAGGTGTGTTTAATGTGATAATTCCCTTCTCATGTGTGTCCCTTAGATTTAAGGCACGTGACTTTACCTTTTTTCTACTCTTCTCTTGTATGTTCCAGTCAGCTTATTATGTGGATTGCAATAATATGGCTAGCTATTAGGTTAATATCATTTGTTACAGGAGCAGTAAACCTTGCCTCAATGACTGATGTTAAGCTGTCATGTTCATATTATAGGAAAATATGATTCTTGTGTCCATTTTTTGCACCTCATGTTAGGATATGTCTGTTTATTCCACATCATCTCCATTTTACCAGGAAACATCTTTTAACCTGCTTATAGTGTTTATCTGCTTCCTGTTCAAATAATGCAGTGGAGGGAGAGATTTAAGTGGCAACAAACGAACCAACAAGAACCAATCATTTGATCAGATATTTGAGAACCTTAATCAAGCTTTGCTAGTGAGCTGTCAAAAAGGATATCCAGTTCGTGTAGTGAGGTGAATTTCTAACAATTTTATTGATTCTAAAGAGTGTTTGTTTGCAAAATTGTTCCATACGAACAAGGATTTATGCGTTTGTTTTCTCTCAACCTCATGCATTTTCTTTTTAATTTTGATGGACAGATCCGAAAAAGAGAAGCGTTCTTCTTATGCACCAGACAAATATTTGCGCTATGACGGTGTCTATAGGATCGAGAAGTGCTGGAGAAAAATAGGAAATCAGGTTATTGTTGTGTTTCATTTTAGTCTTTGAAAATTTAATGAGTAAATTTCATAAATGGTCCCTTTAACATGGTGTTTTTCATTCATAGTCCCCAATTCTAAGAAATTACACTCATGGTCTTCGATGTTTGAGAACTACGGAGTATTCCATAATCAGTCCTTCGAGCCAAATATTGTTTTCCACATATAGTCTTCAGGATTGATTATGGAATACTACGTAGTCCTCAAATATCGAGGACCACAAATGTAATTCTTAGAATTGGGGACTATATAGGGAAAACAACCTTATAAGAGACCATTTATAGAACTTACTCAAATCTAAATGTATGATGTGTGCCTAAAATGATGCTCCATTAGGTGTATTTGATCTGATGTGTTTATTGCCAGGGATTTAAGATGTGCAGGTACTTGTTTGTTAGATGTGATAATGAACCGGCACCTTGGACGAGGTGAGCTATATTAAGTTGCTTTCTGCTGTTGTGCGCCGCTTCCTTTCCACACTAGTTCTTTAGCGATTTCCCCAATCTTTAAATACAGTGATGACCATGGAGATCTCCCAAGGCCTCTGCCAGACATTCCTGAGCTTGGAGACGCAGTTGATATTTTTGAGAGGAAAGAAAGTCCATCATGGGACTATGATGTAAGTTGGTTTCCTTATTTAAATGTTTTCACCATGTTTTTGTAATATTGAAAAAAACAATGGATTTTGGTTATTTTGCTGACACGGGGTTGACCTGACTTGAAATTGAATTGTTATCATGCTCCAACAAGTACAATTTTCAATGTTCATGCTGTCTTTCCTTGGAAGCTTTATAGTGTAAGTGTGTAACTGTTCTCAGTCTTATAGTCTCATTTACCTGAATGACAACTTCTTTGATTAGGAAGTGGAAAGACGATGGAGATGGAAGAAGGCACCACCTTCTAGTAGACAGAAACAAGTTGTTGAAGGCAATCCTGAGGACCGAAAAAGGGCAAGGAAGGCAATTAAGAGAGCTCAGCATCAATCCATCAAAGAAAAACTTTTGAAAGGTAAACTAATCTATCACCATTTATTGTGGCTATATATTGCTCACTAAGCTTGCTTAGATTCAGCAGAACATGTGATTTCATGTTCTTAATTGAGCATTCTTCTTGTGTGTCTACACCTTCTTTTGTGGAATTTTTATTACCTTTTCACCATTTAATAAGAATTTGAAACGACCTTTTATAGAATCTTACCGTTTTAGAAGCTTTTATTTGATACAGGATTCAGCTGCCTGCTTTGTAGCAATGTATTGAATGTACCACTCACCACACCTTGTGCTCATAACTTCTGCAAGGCTTGCCTGGAGGGCACATTTGAAGGCCAAACATTCACAAGAGAAAGGGCATGCCAGAATGGAAGGAAGCTACGCGCCCAAAAGAATATTATGAAATGCCCTGTTTGCCCTGTCGACATTTCCGAGTTCCTACAGAATCCCTTGGTCTGTCTCTCTTTTTAGTTTTTTTCTCCTTTTTTTTTGTATTCCTACCCTACCCTACCCTACCAGTTAGGTCTCACAAGTGGGGATTGGGGGAGGGTGGTGGTGTACGTAGACCTTAATCGAGTCATGAAAACACAGTTAGATTAGCACTTGGCACAGTAAGAAAACATTCACCATGTGCAGGTTAATAGGGAAGTCATGGATGCCATAGAGAAACTTCAAAGTTCTGCTGCATTCGAGGATGATGAGTGTGACACAGAATGGTCTTCTGGGGAGGGTGCAAATGCGCCGGAGAACAGTTTGCCCGGCGTAGAAACATTGGCTGCTGAAAAGGTGCTCACAAATACTTCAAAGGAGGAGTGTGGCAATGAGCAGAAGAAGCCTCCGAAGAGACGTAAAACGGATGCTGTGGAAATCTCAAGCACTTGTGATAGTCATGTTGCAAATAACACCAATGGCAACCTATGATAGTCTTGTTACAAATCCAATTGAAACAAGGTATGGTTATTGAATTGTAATCTTTGACCCAATTTTCATAACACATTTGGTGTGTATTTTATCTTTAGTCAAGTGAAATTCAATTACTGTTCATGCTATTAATTGCCTTGTAGACATCTAACGTCAAGAATGAATAAATGGTATATAAATGAAATCTGAAACCTAAATAAAATTGACTCTTTGGAAATTAAAAATAAAAGACAGGAACATAGAAAAGAAAAAGAGAACGCCATTATGTGACTAATAATGGATGAATTGATCTCAGCCTTTGGATAGTTAACAAGATGAGATTTAAAGTGTCACCACTAATTACTCTCGCCAATTGACTGTCGGTTGGTGTTGCACAATTGGCAAGGCCGGTAATAGGTGTCCGGAGAGTAATATTCGACTTTGATTCATGGCCATTTAAATTAGACAAAGGGAATATTTCTTTCCTTAATATTCTTCCTTTTCAATTTAAATTGCTTGTTTCGATTTACGATATATGACTGAAGTTATTTTTAGATTATTTTATATGAAAAACAATGTAGAATTAAAAAATAAAAATTATATATTTAAAAATTGTATAAAAAAATCTGTAAAATTAGTAGTGACATAACTATATAAGTTTGTCAAATGACCAAAGAAAATAAAGAAAAAAAGTAAATGAAGTTTGGTTTGTGAATAATGAACAAACAATTTAATTTGGGATGAGCAGAGTATATAAAGTAAAGAAATACTTTGTATTTAAATGATTCTAGAGCAATTCAAGAAGAGAATACTTTTTTCAGATATAAACCACAGGACATGTTCTTTATCTTTTCACTGAACTATATCAAACTCCAAATCTTCTTTATATTACAATGAATAATTAAATACAGAGAGACTCTAGAACTCAACTCATTTTACCAAAAAATTACTCTGCATTACTGTACATTTAGAAATATCTTTCCCCTTACAAGATCAGGCTAAATCGTTATTGAATAGTCTGAGCTACTATCATAAGTAATGTAAAATTCATTGTGCAAACTATGTAAGAGTGTTGTACATTGTGAAGTTTAATAGTCACCATTGATGGTGAGACCGCGATATTTTTTCAAATTATCTAGAAACAAACTAAATTAAAGTAGTATTGTATATAAAAGTTTTAAAAAGCTCAATATTAAAACACAACCAATATTTGTGCAATTTTATTTTTTATGGCAAAGTTGAATAATTTTTTTTTATTATAACAGAGCTAAAAATGTGTGTTTACAATAATGCTAAATGTGCTAAAAGAGGGTTAAGTAAATCACATCTTGCTTGTACTTCTCTATTCCAAAATTATGGCCACACTTTGAGCACCGTGTAAAAAGTTACTCTCTCCTCCCACAAAACATTACTCATTCAATGTATTTTTGGTCAAATAGTTATACGCTTTAACCATAAATTAAATATAATGTAAATAAAAAATGTTATAAAAATTTGATATATCAAAACTAGATTCTAAAATGAATCCAATTATATTAAATTTATATTATAATTCAATATATTTTTCTCACAATTTGTAGTCAAAGTGTGTAATATGAGTATTATTTTTAAAATCATTTCATTTTACAAATTAGTATATACACAAAAGTATTCTCTCTGTCCATAAATTTTCTTCTTATTTGACTTTTTACGGTTTCCAACGTAAAAGTTTGACCATTTATTTTTCTATTTATATATTGATACATACGGAGTATTATAAAAATATACTCATCCATCCTAAAATCATCTTCCCACTTCTTTTTCTTCGTCTTAAAACAACCTTCCCATTTCCTAAAAAAGAGTGGAAAATGACCGTGCTACCCTTACAATATTCACTCCCTGGAGTACAACAAAAATTGAGAGATTGGATTATAACGGACCTAACGGTGATTGTTTTGGAGGGATATTAAAGTCATAATCCCTGCTAAAAAAGTCATAATCTTTTCAAACGGCTCGTGGAGCCCGCCAAGTCGCTTCCCTCTTCAATTTTCAGTACCAAGAAATAAGACGCAACAATGGCTAATCCAAGAAAAATTCCGGCGACCACTGCCGGGAAAATCATAAAATGCAAAGGTAATTACTTTACACCTGTCAAAAATCACAGTTTTTCTTTCTGGCGTCGATAAGTTCCGACGATTCAAGAAAATAACGCGCAGCTGCCGTGTTATGGGGACCCCGCCAGCCCCTGAGGATGCAAGAGGTGGAGGTGGCGCCGCCGCAGAAAATGGAGGTTCGGGTCAAGATTCTTTTCACTTCCGTCTGTCCCGGAGATATTGTAACCTGGTCTTTCCAGGTAATTTCTTTCTTTCGTTTCTTTTGGGTTTAAATGGAGTATTTTCTTCTAGAAGCTTCGAGAAAAAAATGATTTTTTTTTGTTCGGGGTATTGTCTTTCCAGGTAAGGGCTTACAAATTCAATTTCTTGATTTCTTTCAGGGTCCATTCTTCCCTATGATTATGGGACATGAGGCAACAGGGTACGTGAACTGTGGATTTATTCGAATTAGGCTAAACCCTAAGTTTAATTCATTATACAGTAGCAAGAAAAAAAGAAATTTACTGTATATATTGTGACTGCACAGGGTTGTGGAGAGCGTGGGGGAGGGAGTGACGGGATTAGTTGCAGGGGATACGGTTATGACGGTGTACACTGGGGAATGTGGAGAATGTGCTCACTGCAAATCTGAAGAAAGTAATCTGTGTAGTCTTCTTTGTTTTAAGTTCATTGAGGGACTGAAGATCTGTGAAGGTACACCAAGGTTTTTAGTTGAAGGAAAACCCGCATACCATTATGCCACCACTTCCACATTTACTGAGTACACCGTGTGTCCTGCCGGGTGTGTTTTCAAAATCAATCGTCTTGCTCCATTGGACAAGATTTGTGCATTGAGCTGTGGGGTTGTTTCAGGTGCCAATGCATTCTTGGTGGGTTTTTATTGGGTTTGTATGTTATGTGGTGCATCTTTGAGTTTTCTGTATGTGTGTCTATGTATATAGGTTTGGGTTCCGTGTTGAATGTTGCCAGGCCAACAGAAGATTCCTCTGTGGCTATTTTCGGACTCGGGCTAACAGGACTTGCAGTATGTATTGTGGCTTTTCTATGTTTCCTTGATAGATAGATATGTTTGGTGCTTTGCCTGATATAAGTAATGGTTTTTTTCAGGCTGCAGAAGCAGCCAGAATAGCTGGTGCTTCGCAGATAATATGCATCGATGTGGATGTAAACAAGCTTAGAAAGGGTGAGATTTATTAGTTCTAATGATGTGCTGCTTCTCATTCTCATCAATTTATCGGCATTCACATTTTTCTTGTGTGCAGCGGTTGGATTTGGCATGACATACTTTCTGAACCCGCCGCGTTATAACATGCCAATTAAAGATGTTTGTTTATCTTGTCCCCCTGAAAACTTGTTTTTAGATCATATGTGCTTTAGAGTACAACAGTAGGTTGAGAGTTTTGTGCTATATACATATATAGATCATTGTGGATATGACCCGTGGGGGAGCAGACCGAAGCGTGGATTGCACTGGGGACATCAGCTGCATGAGATGTGCATTTGAATGTGTTCATAAAGTATGTCACACATGTTTTTTACATTACTTTTCAGCACATTTCGTTAACGCTGTGAAGTCAAAGTTGATTTTGAGACAGTGGGATGAACAATTGCAGGAATGGGGCATTGCGGTTCTCAACGCTTTGTCGCGCGAAAAGTTGAGGACTGATTCATTGAAGTTCGCAGGGGAGAGGACTCTGAAGGGCTGTTACTTTGGGAACTACAAACCGCGGTCTCAACTTCCCTCACTTGTGGACATGGTCATGAAGGGGGTTCGTGTTTCGTCATCTCCTCTGTGATTTTGATCATAAAATGATGGATGGGTCATGACAATTTTCTCCTGTTGCTGTTTTCATGTTGTTCAGGAACTTGACATGGACAAGTTCATCACTTACCGGTTTCGATTTGCTGAGATCAATGAGGCCTTGCTGAGATCGCTTACCGACGCAACGATACTTCTCTGCATTGTCGCAATGGAATGAATGATTCATATGCTTCTCATCTGCTCCTTGCATAATAACATCTGTACAAACTGTCAATGCAATGTCCATAGCAAATAGTACCATAGTTTCATTGGATTATAGTGCTTATAAAAGTTTGTATACTGTTTTAGATGTTTGCTTTTTTGCTTGCTTTTTACTGATTTTACCCCCAACCCACAATTGCCCAAATTTGATCTTAGTGACATAGGGAATTTATGTCAGAGAATATGCAGTTCTTTGAGATCGGATTGTATTATGTTTGATTTGGGGGCATGAAGCCTCTCTTGCTGATTAGGAAAAGAGATTAGGAAGTGATTAGGGAGTATGTATAATGGCAAGAATATTTTAATTTATTTACATATAAATGAACAAAAGTTATAATGGCAACAAGAGCATCCATTTTGGGACCGAGGGAGGGAGTACTTAAATTGATTTAATTTTGATAAGTTCTATTTCCATGTGTTAGAAAGGTTGTCACATCTGTTACGTGTACGGGCTCCCAATTGAAACTGCTAGGGCTATGTTCTTTTCCATTAGAAAAGTTAACTTCCAACTTTATGCAATACTTTTCATTTTCTTCTAGCTCATTCTAGTATTTTCTAGCTCCTTTCAGTTTTTTTAATGACTTAAAAAATATATTTATTTATGTTGACTATACAATTAAATTACTCCCTCCGTCTCAGTGTATTTGTCCAGTTTGACTTTTTCGAGTCAAATTGGACAAACAATAATTATTATTGTTTTTATATTTTCACTATTGTAACATACTCCGTACTTTCAAATGTAAAAAAAGTATTTTATAATTTTTATCATATAAAGGTTATGTTTTTAAAAATAAAACTATTGATAAATTTTTAAACTATTCAGCATTTACTTTATCTTATAAAATTTAATACATCTAGACCTTAATCTAAAATATATATTTCATATTAAATTTTTGTACGTTTGCATTAATTTTTCCATACAAAATTTTTAACAAAAATAAATTATTTGTGTTAATATTTTTTTTAAAAAATAAAGTGTTGTGTGTGTCAAAGATAGTATAACTCCACAGGTGTTCTGTACAATGTTTGTCAAGCCACACATGATTATATTAAATAACTCCATCCAAGCAACAAAACAATAAAAAGATAAATAATACATCTTCGTTAAAATTAAAAATAAAATTCTATTTAAATAATATTATACAGC